CACAAGAGAGTCGCCAAAAGATCAAGGAATCTTCTCATTATTAAGTTCTTGAATATTTGACCCACAATTTGGATCTGTTAGCTTTAAATTGCAATCAATCTAGTTATTCAGCTAGATAAAAAAGAAAGCTCTGCCTTTTTATGCGTGAAGGAAACAAATACCACCTAAAATTTCTTTTGAACCAACCCCAAAATAAATTAAATGAAACCCCAATTGGCACAAGGATAATGAACTTACAGTTCCATGCCACTCTCCACGATAGACCTCTCCATAGGATCCTAGAACATAGAGATTATGAGAAGTGTCAGATAACAGAGTTTAAATCACCTACACCACAGAAGCTTCAAGTTTGGTAAACACAATGCAGGTCATACCAAGCCCGATACGATCGCCCAAGGCGATATCGTCCCATGGAATCTCACAATCTGCCACATCATCAAGTGTCACATCTGATTTAGCACTATCATTACCGCTTGACCTATCTGATATTCTTTCACCCTCCGAATTTGCTCCTAGCGCCTCATGCTCTTGATCACCACTTCGCTGGTGCTCATAAATGGCAGTATCAGCATCTCCATCAACTCTTCCACAGTCTACATGATTAAGGAAGACAGCAGGATTAACTGGTTAATGGCACATCTCTCCAAAATTTCATTTTGTTACCAAAATGGAACAAACAATTTGTTGACAAGTTGTATATACCTCCTAGTGCCTCATATTGCCTACTGACAGCTGCAGTTGTTGCTACCACTGCTGCAGCTGTGGCAGTGGCAGCAGCTGCTACAGGGAGGTCTGTATGAGAGTTAGTCTTGGCTGCAGCTACTACCATCGAAGAAGCAACAACAGCTGCTGCTGCAGCGGCGGCAGCAGCAACAGGCATTTGTTTCATAGGTTTCAACGGAGCAACTTCACTCTGTCTGGAGACTTGCTGTTCCCCAACTTCTCTCACATCTGGCTGAGGTTCGAATGATCCACGTGCATTGCCCTTAGAGTATGAACCGTGATAAGGCAGAGGAGGTAAGAAGCGGGCACGATTCGCATCAGATTGACCCCTGAATTGGAACTCACCTCTTTCCTTACTTTCTATTTCCTCTAGTCTGGATTTTCCCTCTACATGAGATACATCTAATTGCTCCGGATACATTTCAGCGAACAGGTTTGGTGGTGCAATAACTCCACTTTCAAGTAAAACAGTGTGAAGTTTTTGAGCTAGCTGTGGATTTTCTTTTGCGGCGTCAATCATGTATTGCGAAGCATCCTTTACTTTCATTCTGCGTACAGCTGGAGAGCTAACACCTTCTGTCCACGAAGGAGATCTTGCATGTGTAAAAGGAGATCTTGCATGCCCAGCTCTTGAAGAAGTTTCTTGCCCCTGCTCCTTCGTAAAATCATGGAAAGTATTATAACATCCTTTCTCTGCTTTTATCTGCTGTTCCAAATTACTAGAGGAGGGAGGTTCATTTCCTGCAGTAGTGCATTCTGCAAACCTGGATCTCTTGTCTGCCATTCCATAATCTGAATGATCTTCCAATGATGAAGCAACACCACTACTAGAGGAACCCGGATGAGAATCAACATCTCTAGAGGACGGACTAATGGAGAGAATGGATTCTTCATAGTCTCCATGAATTCCACATGTATCAGATGGAATAAGTGTGCCGGGGTCAGCCATCAAATCAACAATATACTCCCTGCAAATGTATCATCTACTTTGTAAATAGAAAGAGACAACTTCAGAAGAAATTATACTATCAAAAAATTATCTCAAACAAAGTATTCAACGAATCTCTGCAGTACATAAACAACAGCACCAATTTAAGATCATAACATGCTGATTATGAAGGAAATTGGAGAAACAAATTCACATTCCAAATTAATTACTATAGGTTTTTGAAACGTTTTATCAACTAACCAAACAAACTTTTCAAGAATTCTATCTTGAATTTTGAACATTATGCTTCCTATTGCTGTCAAAGGTGTGCTTAAGCCCTAAAGTGAGACGCAGGGGCAAGCTCTGCACATTACCTGGCTTGGGTGGTGCTCCAGTGAAAGTGCTATGTTGTGCACCTTAAACCAGCCAAACAACTGCTTTTTAAAAGTTTAGGGTAATATATGAGCCTCAGAGGCCTGGAAAGAACAGCAAATGAAGCTTGCGAAACGATATAGTAATTTTAAGGAAACTTTATAAATGAGTACCTTAGGAATTAGGAAGAGGAACTTTAAAATTCAGTACAAGAGAATTAATTACTAGTTAGAAACTTAAAAACGTATCTTGCATCTGATCAAAAGCTTAAGAAGGCTTTTACTTCATACAGTTCACTTCATTCCACTTCTTTTTCAACTTCCCTGATAATAATAGTGGTGTTTGTGTTTATAGTTTTTCTTTTCAATTATGTAAAAGTTTTTTCTTCATTCTATGCCTTTTCTTCATTAAAGCACGCGCCTTAAGTTGCTCCTACCTTGGCAGTTTGCTACTACATTTTGTGTTATAAGGCTGATGCTTGCTCTGACTAACTCATAAGATGTATTCATGCAATGCATACCAACCAAGGAAGAATATCCAAGAAAAGTGAAAATTCTGACCAAGTCCCAATATGTTTACTACTGACGAAACATAAACAAAAAGATCGCAACTATAGCATCAACGAAAGAAGATAAGGTGAATAGCAGCAACCTTCCATCAATCTTCACATAGTTCATTGCAACATCATCTGAACCCGTATACTGCTTTCCTTTTACTAATCGGCAAGGGATCCCCACACTATCAGCCAAAACCTATACAATTTTCAGAAGTCAAAAGAATGTTATAGGTTATAGTCAAATCGTAGAAAGTGAAAGGGTAAGGTTGACCAGTAGCAAGCGGAAGAGAAAATATCCAAAATAAAAATAATAATGATGATGACGATCATGTACGATGATAATGATGATGATGATGATGATGTAAAACAGTCAAAAGTACTCTATCTGCAATGCAATAGGACTCTTTGTTGTTCATGGCTCAAACTTTAATTATTATAATTAAAGTACATATAAAAGAAGTGGGCAGAGGGGAAGGGGATATCTAGCAGATTCCGTTTGACAAATAAAAGCACCCTTGAGATGCTAATGCGCCAAACATAAACAAAACCTGTGGACGAATGTCATCGTACAGACACAACTAATCTCTACAAAAAGGATGAAACAGAACAAGGAGATACAAAGGCAGAAGCAATGGATATAGAATACTGACAAGTAGTTGGAAGGATCGAGAACTTGGGGACAAATACTGGAGTTAACTCAGATTAGAAGTGAACTCAGATCAAATGATGTATCCGAGGCCCTCTGCTGACATTCTGCCTAAATGAGTTTATCTTTCTACATTAAGATTGTACACTCTCCATCCACACAACCAATCATTTTTCGCAATGAGTAGATATCTTCTTCACTAACCCAAAGAAGGCCATCGTCATACATTCACAGTCTTAGCCAACTATAAAAGTTAATTAGGCTTTGGAAGTGAGATAAGGGTATTCAGATATCTCATGCATTTTCATTGTCAACAAGCAAGAGACCAAAAAAATCCATCACAATCTAATAAAAATCAAATAAGCTGTAGGTTTTAGAGTCCAAAATGCTTAGTACCTTGAATAAAAGTGCACGATGACGAGCCAATCCAATGGTCAAAGAACCAAGAGGCAAAACCATACTCCCTAGAGTTGCCTTTAGATTAAAACTAAGACTTCTCCATGCAAGCAACATGCTGTCCGGATCCGCAACTGGGCCCCCCATGTGGTCAGAAACTAGCACAGCAAGCTTCTGCATCAAACTGCTGTCTGAAAAATCTATAAGTTTTGACCTCAGCCCAACAGCAATCTCTAGAGCTCTCTGTTCAAGTTTCAACAACTTGGAATCTGCAGCTTTACTGACAAGGATGGCTTCCCAACTGATATGATCTGATACTTCTGTTCTTTGCAGATCAATGAGGGATGGCATTTTTGAAGAATTGGACTCCATCAGGACGCCATACAGATCATAAAATCCATCCAGGATCTTGTCATCATAACTTAGAGCATTGTAATTCTGTGAAGCATTGATAAATCTATAATATGAGATATGTCATGTGTTAGAGAGGAATAGGACTAGAAAGGGAAATTTTTGCACAAATAGAAACTAATTTGATGAAACAACAGAGCACTTATACACCACAAAATAAGCCTCTCTACATTTCAGACAATCTAGCTGTCTATAATACCACTTTCTGGTTGTTAAAGACAAAAAAAACTACTGGTACCACTTTAATACCATACAAAGAATATGGGGGAAAAAACAGGAAATATGTGCAGAGCAATGACTATGATATCTCCACAGCACAATATAGATTCAAACTATAGACTTTTGCATGTGGGAGATCCTATTTGCACAATGAAGGTGCTTGTAATGTATTGAGAATCATCTGTCATATGAGCTAGCAGGAAACGCTACACTGAGATGGCGCCTAACATGTGACAAGGTGGGTTTTGAGTGTGACCAGAGTAAAGATTACCCTCCCAATACTACCAAAGTAAAAAATGTAAATTTCTTGCGAACGCGAACCTTCCCAGATGGCATGTCAACGTTGCAAAAGAAAGTTTGTGCTCTTCATGTGTAGTCTTTGGCAGTGTTACCTCTAAACCATATTTCTAAGATTATTCCTTTTCTAATTTTTTTGAGTAATTTTAAGTCCAATAATGTCAGTAGTGTTTGTACTTGGCATCTCTCTCTCCTCACTTATATCCATCAAGTATTTATACTCATTGATCACATAATTCCTCAGTCAAGCTAAACTCGCCTTTTTCCGGCTACTTTCACTACAGCATTTTGAATTCTCATATTTCCAGTAACTTATATGTGTTACTAATAGGTTCTCATCCAAAACACAACTCAGGACCTCATGATATGAGTATTTGTGTTGGTTTCCTTCCATGAGAAGACAATACACCTCCTAATTGCTGCAAATCGAACTTTTCTTTTAAGTTCTTCCAATTTCTTTTTCTTTTTTTGTGACATCAGTGGTGTCCGAACCAGATTTCGCACACCTCGACTATTCCACTGGGTACTAGGTACCTCCCACTAGCATAGGTAGGTACCGAGTAACTCTGCCCATGAAGTATTAGGCAAATGAGAAGAAATCACCTGGTGGTTTTTGTCTCTATGGGAATTTGAACCCTGTCATGTAAAATTCTTGCTCCAGTCAGCTTGAGGCCATCCCCAGCCGAGAGCCTAAGTGCTTTTTTTCAGCATTAGGATTAACGAATCTAATAACCAACACCTTGAGGAATGACAAATACGATCAGCAGCAAGACAACTACCATTACCATTACACAAACAATGCTGGAATTCTAAAGGCTGAATTTCATAAACAACCAAAAAGTAGATGCCTTTTCAGCAGTATTTCGACCAAAATCCACAGAAAAGATATACAAACTTCAAAGGCATACTCCATTTATCACATCAAAGTAAAATCAATATATGCTCAGTCAGATCATAAGGGATTGAATGGCATAGCCATTTCCTTTCTTCTTCTTTTTTTGGTGAAATGAAATCGATATACGATATATTTACCTAAAAGATTGCTAAGTTATGCCTTAAAAGTGCATAAAGCAAAGTAAACTAAGAGTTGGAATATGAATGGAACCAAATAGATAGCGATGAACATACCCAATACCGATATGCTACAACTTCTGCTGGAGCATTCTCTGGGGCAGAAGAGCCCAAACTGATCTGCTTAACAGCCTCAATCTGCACCGCCTCGGGGTCTTCCTTCGCACTCAACTCCAGAGCCAACTGAATTTGATACTCTTCCTCTACACCGGGGTCCCTCNACCTAAAAGATTACTAAGCTATGCCTTAAAGTGTATAAAGCAAAGTAAACTAAGAGTTGGAATATGTATGGAACCAAATAGACAGCGACAAACATACCCAATACCGATATGCTACAACTTCTGCTGGAGCATTCTCTGGGGCAGAAGAGCCTAAACTGATCTGCTTAACAGCCTCAATCTGCACCGCCTCAGGGTCTTCCTTCGCACTCAACTCTAGAGCCAACTGAATTTGATATTCTTCCTCTACACTGGGATCCCTTGAGTTGCTAGACTCCGAATCACGCTGTACAGCATCTAAAGCAGCATCCAATTCACCAATAGTCACAGAGTCAGAATGTTCCATTCTGTTCCCTCTACTCACATTTGAGGAAGACGGAGGACTAGGACTTTTCCGATTTGTAACTGAATTTAACCATCCTGAAATTGCTGAAAAAGTTTTATTATCAGACCCCTGAGAGTTTCTAGAGTTTGAATTCCCATCAGGAGATGAAACATCACTCAGTCTCTTGCTCTTTGAGGATGATGTTGACCCTTCTGAATCCTCTGATTGATTGGACCCAATATGCAGTTTCTTGAGGAAATTTTTCATGTTGAATTCACTATTCACTAAACCACAATACTTAGTAATACTAAAGAAACAAAAAAGCTGGCCATAAACCTCTCCATTGTCGCACTCCAATCATGAATCAATCTCAATTACAAATCACTTACCTTAAAAACAGTAATAACAAGAACTGCAGAGTTCAAGTCAGCATCCAAAAACTTGACCAAAATCAAATCCAAGAACCGAACTTTGCTTCACTTCTGAATAGACCCCAGTTGTCACTTCTCTCCTAAGCAGCAAAAGGACACAAATCTTGAAAACAATTTAAGAATTTACCCTAAAGAATACTCATAGTATATTCTGTACACACAAAACCAATCTACAATCTTGAGAAAGGTTGCTCCTTTATTACCTTAACAACAAGAGCAAAAGCAAACCAATAAAGGGGTAGCAAAATGCAACAAAGATAGTAGAAAATAGTGCTAAAATGGACATAGAGAAGAAAGACTAATTGTATAGTCGAAATAAATGTATAATTAAAGTGAAAAGGGGTTCAGTGGTCAGATTGGGAAAGGTGTTAAGGGGCAAAGACCAACTAGTGGGGAGTATGACCTCAATAATCAGAGCTGACCCACTTGGTTTATTCTGAGGTTAAGGTACCACCACTGGCAACACCAACTTATTATATTCCCATGTCCAAGAAAACAAAGAAAAAAATTGTACTACAAGTATAAATAAAAAATAGAGTACTAATAATATAGTACTAAAGTATTTTGCTGGGGAAGAAAACCTACTTGCCTGCTTTGGATCTCTCTTTCTTACACACACACGCACTAAAGAATGGCTATTGGCTGTTTTTGCTCCCAACACAGTACTAGGAGTTGGCAACTATGAGAGAGGCAATAAGTCGTATTGGAGTTGGCAACTATGAGAGACGCAATAACTAAGCTCGAACTCGAAACCTCTAAATAAGGGAGGTGCAGTCTTATTCACCGTACCTCATACTTTGGTGGTATAAACTTGCTTAACTACAAAGAGTATAATATTGGAAAAGAGTATTACTCTCTTCGTCTACTCTTACTTGTCAAATATTCTAAAAATAAATTTTTATATTTACTTATCGCTTTTTGAGTATAAAGAGAAAAATAATTTATTTTCCCTATTTTGCCATTAACATTAATTACTCATTTCAAATCATTTTTCAAATCCATTAAAGACTATACACCAATTAATATGGGTATTATGGTAAATTATACACTTTATTTATTACTTCCTTCCGTCCACAATAAGTGACCAATTTACCTTTTTATTTTGATCCAAAATAAGTATCCATTTATATAATCAAGAAAAAATTCAATTTGTTTTTCCAAAATTATCCTTATGTACGTATTCTTAAAAAGTTTTTTACTCCTCACATTAACTATACTGCAACATTTAATTAAGGGTAGTTTAGTCAAACTAACAATTTTTGTCTAGAATTTAGTATTTTCTTAATGGGTGTGTCCAATAACCCTAGAAAGTACAAGCAGAGGGAATATTCAGAATATTCCCTTCAGAGATTCCAAAACAAAATTGATCGTTGCTACAGTTCCTCGCTATTAGGCCTCGACCCTGATGAGCCACTCAACGGCTCGTTCTGCTTAACACCGACCTCGACATCAATGAACTCTTCAACAACTCATCTTGGTCGTACTCAGTCGAGCTGCCCATGGCAAATTACGATCTTCGCGACGAACATCTTCTCGTATTGAATTTCCTTAGTCGGAATTTGGCCCATATAGTATGACCCTCGTATGGCAACCTAGTTGAACATTCTTTCTTTCCCTAATTGGTTGTGTAAAGGGGAAATTTCTTTTGGTAATAGGATTGTTCAATTTAATCCAAGGAGTATGTAAATATGCAAATTTATTATTTCATAGATTATAGAGACAATGATAAAAAAAGGATGTTCTCATATAGTTAGCAAAGTAAGGAAGAAGATTCACAATAATCAGAAGAGCGCAGGGCAAAGCTGAGTGAAAACCTAGATAAAGAACACTGAAGTTTTTTTTTAAGGGATATACTCGCATCAGGTTAAAAAAAATTATTGTAATTTTTTCAAAATGACCCTGACGATCCCAAGCTCCTCAAACTGTCTCTTATTAATAGTAGGAATCTCAATAGGTAGTTAATAGTGTATTAACAATTGTATTCAATCATAATTGATTTTCACAAAATTTTATAGTAAGAGGTCAAGTGCAAGTTCTGTTACGTACTATCTCCGATCCATTTTAGTTGTCCCTTAAAAAACTATTAAGTATTAATAAGATGTACTTTTTAACTACTATGCCCTTGTTTATTTTTCTCGTTTAGATTTTCTATGTTAAGTGATTAATCTTATTCTTTATTTTCAAAGACAAAATGGAAAACAATAATTAACTATATCTTAATTTTCTAAAATGAAATGTATTTTGGATCAATTATTTTTAGTAACCGCGATAAGTAAAAAGAACTGGTGAGTATAACTCAAAATTCTTCTTTTTGAGGATGTCTTATTGAGACATTATAAAGACATAGTTTCTCATTCCAAATTTATCCCTGGTGTGAATTGACACAACTTGATATAAAGAAATTTTAGTCACAAAAAGACAACAATGATAAATATGATAAATCAATATAAGGTGGAATTGAAGGAAAGATAGTCCCCCCACCACACCCCTCTCCTACTTTTATCATTCATTATAAACATTTTAAGCCACTAACTTTCTCTCTGTTTTAAATTTTTATTTTTAAAAAAAGTGAAACACTCGAAAATGGCAAATAAAATTATCTAAAAATGACTTCATCACACCCACCAACCGAAATGGAAAATACAATAAAAGAATCTCTTCTATGTTCTCATGCCAGACTTTTCTTTTTCTCATTATTTCTTGAAAGGATAAAAATGATAAGTAGAAACTTAGGAAGAGAATATGAAAGTGACATTCAGCTTAATTTGCATATGAAGTTCTATTTATGTCTTTATTAAGATGAGCTGTAGTGAAAGTACTCTGTGTGGTTGTAAATGCCCAAAAGGAACAAAAAAAAACCTTCCTGTAAATATAAATAAAATTGATAGTTTTTTTTCTTTTTACTATCAAAAGTCACGGTGAGATGAATATAATCTCTCAACTCAATCTTTAACCAAATATATTATATTCGAGATGGGAATGGAAAAAATCCTAATAAGGAGCAGTTCCTCTTTAATGTGTCGTATCTGCGATGTGAATTGAATTTGTCTGGCCCCAAAGCGAGTATCAGAGATCGAGTGAGAAATAAAACAAGATACTCCTTCCGCCCCAATTTATGTAATATAGTTTGAATTTTGAGAGTAGAACTTCTTAATTTTGACCATAAATCCGGACAGAAAATCTTAAATTATTTTTAAAAAAATAAAATTTATATATTTAAAAACTACGAAGAAAGTGCTACTCCATTAATTACAATAATTAACAATTTAAAAATATTTAAAAGTTATATAAAAAATTACAAAAAAAAAAAAAATTTGACTCTCGAAATTGGAACGATGGGACAGTATGTTTTTGACATGTGATTGTGTGCAATTTTCAAAGGTTTCTACTTGTAGTTCACTTGCTATGCCTACTTTCAGTAGACTTTCCCTAAAAAGCTTTATAGGGCTGAATAAGCTTGTGATGCCTTCCTTTTTTATCCAAACTTAGGATAGGAGAAAAAAGTGCCTCATCTGGATAACTATCAGTATTATACTCCCTTTCCTTCTACACTCCTACTTGGATGAGAACCTTTGCTCCCATATTGACATGGGAATATTGTTTGTTCCATAATTATGCCTTGTGTTATTAACAAGAAGAATTCTGAATTCATATCTTATTAATTTCATTTCAATAAGAGTATTTTGTACAAATTAAGCATGGGTGACATAGTACTTCGATACATGAATTAGTAGAAAATAACAAGTAACCGTTGAATTTGTTAAGATGGGAGCAAGCGGATTTGAACACAATCATTTAAAAAAAGTTGTACAAATTTGACTTAAATAAGAGTTTTTCACCTTTTTTTTGTTTTTAATATAAAAATTAAAAAAATTCACCTTCACCAAAAAATAAGAAAAAGTAACATTTTGTAGTTTAAAGTAGGGCTTAATTTTAATTCAAAATTTGGGAAGGGAAGAGATGATTTATTGATTCTAAATGTATTATAATCCGAATGGTCATTGTGAGCACGTGATTTTTGCCTTACGAAAAACTACTCCAAAATAAATCAAAATAAATTTC